GAGGTAAAAAAAAATCACTTAACTTTCTCAAATATAAAAACTGAAATATGTTGTCCTTTAAACAAAGACTTTCAACCCACTGCAGTTACAGCACAAGATAAGCACTGAACAGTCAGCAAAGAGGAACTGATAGCGTTTTTTTCACTTTTATTTTCCATGAAACTGCCCTTGAAATGAAGTAAGGAAGCACTATCCCTCTGTCCCTGCCCTCCCTTGACTTCTTTAGACCAAGTGATACTTAGTCTGTCACCAAACGCCATGTTCTCTGTGACCTGGAAACATCTGGAGAGGGAGGGGGAAGGGCAGGCTTATTCAGAACGAAAACACCACCTTCAAACCAAAACCAGCGACTGTTAAAATAGCAGTGCACGGTGACTTTCAGGGTTGTTACTTCATCACGAAAAATCCCTGAGTGTTTCAAGTTTCAGTTGCAATATGTACCATACAAACCTTTTAATCACTCTAGTAGTGCGGCTTTAGGGATGACAGTGCTAGGTGGTCCACCGCTTAGGTCCAGATGTAAATATGTTAACAACTACTGGACATATTGGACATTTTAAACAGACATTCAATGTCCACAGAATCTTCAGTGCCACTATCACACATGTGGTTTTTAGTGAACTGTGTCAACAACTGTTGGATGGTTAGCCATGAAGTTTGGAAACAACATGAAATGCCCCACCCTCAGGATGAATTGTAACCATTAACTTCTAGTGCTGTCAGCAGGTCCAAATTTTACCTTGCCCCTTGACCAAACATCTGCAGAACTAATGACCTTCCCATCAGACTCTAGCATGTCTTGTTGTATGTTAGTAATGTCGATGAAACTAAGGCCCCATTTACACCCAGTACATGTGATCCTGATATAGTATCTGGATAATGATGGATCTTTGAATTTACAAGTGAACCTGATATCAAAATGCATTATTCTTATCTCAGTTGTGTCTGCACTGTGATTGGATGTCAATATGCAAATTAGTAAGGTGAGGCTGGCTCACTTGTTAATAGAAATGATGTGTCACAGGTCAAAGGAAGCAACGCCGTGAGCAGATCATTAATTTTTAAATAACTATCTACTGATACTACTTTTAGCTTTTACCTGGATTGCCTAAGCTAGCTTCTGTTTTTCTACAGAATGTGGTCATGCTGTATCGATTGCATTTACTCTTGGCTGAGATCTGATCACAGTACGAGTCTGGCCACCTACAAATGTGGTCTGGCTGATCACATTTCACTCCAAATACTTTCTGCGTGCATTTACAACTTCCCTGTTTACCCTTAGAAAAGGGTATAGATCACATTTTGATGCCAGGTGTAACACAGTACATTTTAAAGTCATTGTAACATCACTGCTCTGTGACGTGAGCATTTGACATGGCTGCAGTGTTCACCTTCATCAAACCTCATGCTGTGGCAGCAGGAGCAGAAAGGCAATCATGAAACAAAAAAAGTAGAAGGAGGACACAGTCTCATCCTCTGTTAAGACACGTTTTTATGTGGACATATTTATTTTCATAAAGAGATATTTTATTTACAAGATCATAAAACATACACACTGCACTGATGTTATCTCATCAGTTTACTAAACAATGTTAACACCTCAGCAGTTCTTCATCGGGATATCTCTGTTCGAATTGCATCAAGCACACATGAACACATCCCTTCCTGCCATTCAAATCAATGTAGTTTTGAGGGAAATGTTAATCGGTGATAATCTGGGCAGGTACCAACATACCTGTCTGCTGTTTGGGGCCTGTGGCAATATCCCACAATTCGGCATCCATGACTCCTGGAAAACAATTTCATTTTTACAGCTCAGTTGTATTCATAGGACCTGTTATTCCTGCCCACATTTATTTTCCCATGGGAGTCAGCCAAATCCAGCATGACGGTTACTAAATCCCGTCTGTCCCGCTAACCACTTTCTATTTGTGAAGCAATCCTTCGATGCACTGATGTAATACTGAGGAGTGAACACATAGAACATCTGAGAAAATGTATTATTTTGACTTATCATATCACCGTTTCTTTGTTATGAGACCAAATAGCATCTTGATTGTTTAGTGAATTAGATAGTGTTCATGCAACCAAAATGGTTCACTAATAAGGAACACTTGGCATTATATCCTGGTCAAAGCAGGTCATCAAGCTAAGAATCTTACTCTTCCTTTGTGAAGTTCTGTTTTCTGAACATATCTTTGCATTATAATGCTCTTCTTATATGATATACAAGTATACACAGCTCCTCCTTAGAACAAGTACTTTGTCTTGTCTCAATTAGTACTATTGATGTTTTCAAACATCAACCCCTTCCTGAAAATGCTGTGTATATTCTGCCATAGGATGAGCCACTGGAGGCTTTTCCTGTGAGCTGAAGAGACATCTTGTGGTGGGGAGGAAACACTAGCCACTGACAAAGGTCAAAAATATAAAACGTGGTCAATAGCTTCCTTGGACAAGGTAGTCATTTATCATTTCAGCTTCCAGACACAAACAACAA